CAGGAGACCAGCGCCAGACAGCACTGAAGCCAAACCACAGAGAGGCAGCTGAGTGCACGTGCACAGGAGGCTTCCTGGCTGAGTAGGGTGCTTCAAGACCCTTATCAGTGGGGCTACAGAGCTTTGGAACACTTGTCCCAACAGGGCAGATGCAGGTGTGAGGCCTGAGGAGCCAAGAGGTCAAGAAACCAGGAAGCAGAAGCTGAAGAGACAAGGAACACAAGAAGCGGAGCTCCCTCAGTCTCTAAAGGTATGGCCAGGACCTCTAGGGTTTCAAAGGGTGGAGCCATGGCCTCTGGTGTTTCTAAGGGTGGAGTTACCACTCAGATGGACTAGGAGAATGGTGTGCCTAAAGCCGAGGGAGCAGAGTTGCTGCCCTAGTGGGCCTGGAAGGCAGAACTGAAGCCCAGGGCCGAGGAGCCTCCTCTCAGAATCTGATGAGCGTAGGCAATAAATACTTAGGGTCTGGAGGGCAGGGCCATTGTGTAAATTGTCTCAGAGAACAGAGGATTATTTTCAAAGCCTTGAGTGCTAATGTAATGTGTTCTGCTGACTTGTTTGCTGCCTGTTATCCCTTCTTTTCCTCCAGTTTCTCCCATTTGTGGAAATGTCTAGCTCGTGCCTGTTCTGCCATTGTACTTTCGGAAACAGGTAACTTGTATTCTAGATTTCACAGATTAAGAGGAATTTTTGGATTTTAGACTTGGAGTTAAGACTTTTGCTACGATATGATGGGATGAGTATGTTTTGCATGTTGCAAGGATGTGATCTGGGTGGGCCAAAGGGTAGAATGTCATGGATTGAATTACGTCCCCCCAAAAATGTGTGTATCAATTTGGCTGGAGCATGATTCCCAGCATTGTGTGGTTGTCCTCCATTTTGTGATTGTAGTAATTCTAGCCTACTAGACTGTGAGAAAATAAATTTCTCTTTCTTAAAGCCCTCCACATGTGGTATTTCTGTTATAGCAGCACTAGATAACTAAGACAAAAACTAACCTAAAGGTTGTTGGTTTGAACCCACCCAGCAGTGGCTT